GGGGAGGGAGAGAGAGAGAGAGAGGGAGAAGGAGAGAGAGAGAGAGAGAAAGAGAGAGAGAGCGAGAGAGAGAGAGAGAGAGAGAGAGAGAGACAGAGAGAGAGAGATGACGGAGTAGGAAAGATAATAGATATTATGCAAGGGGATATACCAGGGTGAGTCAACAAGTAATGCAAGTTCTTTTATAACTTAAAGAAAAAAGAACACACTTGCAACTATCATACCTCAAATTATAGGTGAGCATCTGAGGATTATATTTTTATTTCCCAACCTAATCTCCATTTCGTTCAATAGCCACTGTTCACTTTTAACTAAGTCCACATGCCAGCTTCGTATAACTGAGCAGGTTGGTCGTTAAAGGGTACAGCAGTCTTGATTTCTCCATCGTTTCCACAGTGTTGACCTCTGAAAGGTTCTTTTCTAGGATCGAAAAGGTGGAAGTCTGAAGGAGCCAAATCAGTAGAATAAGTCGTGTGTGGCAGTGTTTTCCACATAAACGTTTGATTGTCTCCCTTGTTCTGGTACTCAAATGCAGGCGGGCATTGTCATGGTGGAAAAACACCCTTTCCATGTTCAAATTTGGTCTGACGGGTAGAATTCTCGCTTTCAGTCGTTTCAGTGTTTCGATATAGGGTTCAGAATTGACAGTTGCTCCTCGTGGATTTTAAAAAACCTATGAGAAGCACACTATGAACGTCCCAAAACACAATTGCCATGATTTTTCCGGCTGACTCCTCGGGACGATGATTGTCTGACAAGTACATCGACACCTCTTCCTCTTCTTCCGGCTCATTGCTTACACGTGTGACCATCAATATACAGTGACAGAATCTAGAGCTTGGTCCTTATAAACATTCTGAAGTCTCTTTTGGATGTTATCGGTGGATTCACCTTCTAAAGCAATAAATTCATTCACTGCTCTTTGCCTCTGACAGATCTCCAAGAGGGTAGTCATTTTGATACGACGTCATTCTGGCCAAAATTAAAGAAACTTCAATTTTAACAGTTTGAGTTCAAAAGTACATAAACAAGTACTTGTGAGCTGAATTTAATTAAATTTGAAGCAAAATTGTGCAAAATAACGAACAACTTGCATTACTTTTCGACCCCCCCCCCCCCTTCGAGATCGTACGTAGACGTAAGTAGATATTGTCATTGTTTCTTGCTGTGTCAGAGAAACCACTGGCATATCAGTATTGCGTGTCCTCTTCTTTTTTTATATTCCAAATTAGTCAATTCATTTTACTTCAAATTTTAAACACTTCGATGGATATCAATATGAAAACCACTGTATGTGTCCGATATAGTAACGAGTTTTCCACTGAAATCTTTGATTATAATCTTGACAATCAGTCACGGTGGCTCGCGTGCGCGATTCAAGAAGTGGCATGAAGCACACAAACAGACAAACAAATAGACGTAATATAGACAGCAAGACAGAAGACAGATACACAGACACAGGCATTCATACTAACAGATAGACTGGTGTACAGACACACACACACA